GAATCAACTCTATACCAACTGTTTTTTTTTTTTTAAATCTACCTCACAGGATTATAGTGAGTATTAAATGAATGAATTGCTGCATTTAAAGTGCTAAGAACAGAACCTGGCACACAGTAAGAGCTATTTAAGTGTAGGCCGTTACGTTTTATGAGCTAATTGAATCTTACATAGCAACCCTATGCAGTAGGTACTGTCATGACTCCATCCTTCAGATGAGGAAATGGAGGCTTAGAGAGGTTAAGCAAAGATGAAATTATATGGACCGTGCTGTAGCTTGAACAACCTCCAGAAGCCTGTAGAATTTGGCTTTTTGCTGTTGGCTCTGTGACACTTCCTAATAATATTTTCTCAGGAAGACTGTCCTTATATGCTGAGCCACCAAAAAGACTAGAAGGTATGGAGAAGACTATCCCATGTGATAGCGCTTCCTCCTCCTAGATGGTCATCCTAGCCCTGGCCTCCTCACAAGCTCCACTCTGACAAAGCCAGGCTCTGTATGTACTTGGTTGTGTGGTTCTATAGCCTCCTGACCTCGTTGGGTGGCCTCAGCACCTCACTGCTACAAGAGGCAGGGCTGTCCTCTCCCGGAAGGCCCTGTCCTCACCAGGAGCTTTAACAGGGTTCTGCCGTTCCTAAGACTCTGAGCATAGATTATACAAATGACTCTAGAAGTAAGTCAAGGCCATATGAGCAGACACGCAGTTACCCCTCTGACCTTATCTCTTGCTACTCTCCCCCATCACTCTTCCAAACACACTGCCCTCCTGGCCAGACACCCTCTGCCTCAGGGCTTTTGCCTGGAATGCTCTTGCCACAAAAGTATGTATACTTTCTCCCTGCTTCCTTGACTCTGTTACTCAATATCACCTTCTCAGAGAGGCCTTCCCTAATGACCTCTGCTCTTCCTCTTTACCTTCCCTGCTTTTTTCCCCCTCCTTAACACATTTAATTATGTGATGCACTATAAATTTTACCTATTTATCTTGTTAACGTCTTTTCCTTCAAACTAGAATGTAAGCACATGAGGATGGGAATGCACAGCACTTCCCCAACAACTATAGAACTCCCAAGCTGAAAATCTCCAAACGGTCCAACTGTAGGCAATATCCATACGTATATAAGGTAGCACACAAAGAAAGGACTACTGGAATAATTGAGCTTTGGAGCACATGTAGGGGAGCATAGCTTCTTTCTGCACTTGATTTTGAAGGAGAAAAGGAAAAATACTTGGTGGAGAAAGAGGGGAATGGAATTCTAAGTGAAGGAATTCTCACATTAAAAAAAGTCAGAGAAACCAAAATTCATTCATTCATTCAGTTGGGGTTACAGCAGTGAATAAGCAAGAAATAAAAGTTCCTGCACTCAGGGAGCTTATATTCTGGTGGTGGTAATGCCAGACATTATGATTTTAGACACAAACAGATCTTGTTGGAGCGGTGAACAGGGAAAGGGCTTAAGATTCTAAAGGCCTAGCGTGGCTTCCATCTGGCAAGCAGTAGGAAGCTACCGTTGGTTCTTGATGAGAAAGAGCCTTCAGAATGTCAGTTTCTGATTTCTGCAGCTACGTGAAGGATGGAGTCTGACAGGGAAGGGAATTAGGAAGGGCTGTTGTAGAAGATACAATGTGAGGTGGGGTGATTAGAACAGGAGGGTGGATATCAACATAGGAGAAGGTGGGTCTAAGGGGCCTGGAATGAAGACACTGAGATAGGATCTAGAAAGCCCCTGACTGTGAGAACAGCCTAAATATGTGTTGCTAAGAACTCCATGATGGAGAGGAAGAAAGATGGCAGAAATGATGTGGAGACTTTGACTCTGGAAGTTGGGGGAATGGCAAGGCCAGATTAGGACCAGTCTCTTGAGCTTCAGGAAATCTGTCCCACTACTGGGCTGTGTATACGTATGAAAGACCACAGCATTTCACCAATGTTTACTTGCCAGTACTTGTCTTTGTTGGCTATTTTGTACTCTTAGTTCAGATGTGACTCATTAGAAACTGAAAATAATTTGAATTTAGTCAGTTGCACTGGATCCACAAAGCAAAACTTTGTTTTTGCTTGAAACCCACTACATCTACCAATGCTCCAAATCTGTTTACTAATGGAGTAAGATTTTAAAATCTTATATCATGAGGTAGAGATGCTGGGATTTCTCTGTACAGCAGGATTTTGACTAAGAACAAAATTAAATATTTTTCATCTTTAATAGGACAATAACTGTAGATGTACTGGTGGCTATTTCTGTAAGAAATATCACTACTACAACTAGTTTCTTTTTTTTCTTCTAACATAGATAATTGGCTTGAAATCAGTCTGTGTTTTCTCGCTGGATTTCCTTCAGTTTTATTTCTCTGACAAGTGAAGAATTTAAATATCTGATTCTCACACCTTAAACAGAGAGGACTTCTCACTTGTCACCATGAAAGGATAAAATGGGAGGGAAGTGGCAGTCTTGAATTTTCTACTATAGTTAGATAATTCAAATGAAAAAGAAAACCCACAACACTTTACCATTGGATATTTTACGTAATATTGTTTCTTGAAATGGTTTCTTGAAGTATCAGTTCACATAGTATGGTAGAAACCACATCTTTACCCATGCGGCAAATGAAGGCCTTCTCAGGGGGAAGACAGTCAACATGAATTTTCCATAATAGAAGTTGACTGTAGCCTTCACAGGGTCTGCATAAAATCCCTGGGGACCTGGAAAGAGTGGGCAGTTACTAAATGGTTTCCTTTTTATTAGCATGTCTCAGATAAGTTCACCTGGACTCCCAAGTCTAGCATCACTTCCAGAGAAGAGTCTGGCTTTGTGCATGTGATAAAGAGCTTTTAAAAACTACCTGCTATCTAGCATAGCCCATGGAACACCAAAAAACCTAACCAAACCAGTTGCTGTCGAGTCAGTTCCGACTCATGGCAACCCCACATGTATCAGAGTAGAACTGCACTTAATAGGATTTTCCATGACTGCGATCTTTCAGAAGTAGATGGATCATTTAATTATTCCTCTCTGGGTAAATCTGGTCGGTTACATGAAAAACAAACTTAGCTGTTGTTTTTTTGGTAATAAAGTTTTTGAAAATTGTATATGGAAAAACTTCAAACTTTCTCTCTGACCTAAGTTCTTTATTATATCTGTGATAAGAGATAAGAATATGATGAAAGACTTGAATATATTCTAATAATGTGAATATCATTGCAAAGGTTGGGCAAATGTAGAAAAGTGTATATCTAAGTGTTTAGTGATAATAACAATTTAGTAAATATTATCATCAGGAAAAGGAAGAAACAATTATAGTCACATCAAGCTGGTTCCCTCCTCATAGTTTTTGCAGTTGCTGTGTTCTCTTCCTGGAATGTTCTTTCTCCTTCTCCTAGCTAGTGTTTTCTTGTCATGCAAGTCTTAGCTCAAATGTCACCTCCTCAGAGAGGCTTTTCTGACCTTAATCTAATGAACTCCTCTCCCACCCTTTTGCAAGTCATTCTCTCACTTTCCTTGGTTTTAATTTCTTCTTAGTACTTAATCACGACCTGAATCCACTTATTTATGTATTTATTTTCTTATTTATCTGTCTCCCCAACCATATTGTAAGCTCCAGAGAGCAGAGACCTTGTCTGTCTTTTTTATTGTAGTAACTTGGATGCTAAGAAAAGAACCCGAATAGACTTGGGAGGAAGCTGAGATTGCAAAAGTGTCGAATATGTAAAAACAAAAGAATGAAAAAGGCAGACCTTTCTGAACAGGTTGAGGGAGTAAAGCATTAAAATTCCATTTTACTGTCATTATAGTAGAAACATTGCTGCAGTGTGCCATCCTTTGGTGTTGGATTTGTAATTGTTCATCTAAAACATAGATATGAGCTGTGTTTATCAATGTCAGCAACTTTGGGAGTTGAGGTGGAGAGTACTTAGGAGACTCTTTTCCAGATCCTAGAGCCGGCATCAGAGAGGGTATTTCTGCCACACCAGTTGTATCAGGGTATTTTTGTCTAAATAATTAAAATTCTTACTCCAACTGGCTCAAAACATAAGTCTTATGGGAGGTTGGGGCTCAGGGTTGGTTGATTTAGCAGCTCAAAATGCCACCAAGAACTCCATGTTTCTGTTCTGCCATCATTGGATGTCATCCCACTTGGGCAGGACAATGTCGGAGGAAGAAGAGAGAACAATTCCTTCCACTGTCCACAAAAATTACAGACAGTCATTTTGGTGTCACCCCCTCTAACAGTGTCACCCGGTGTGGTCTGCACTTCCTGTACCCTCGTAGTGATGCTACTGTCATTTTCTGTTCACCTCCACTAAACATTCTGTCTATATCTGATCAAAGTAAATTTTGCCTTTGATATGATAACTTTTGCCTATAACTTTGTACTTGGAGCTTTTATATGGCCCATGACGGGGTGAGACTAAGAACAGAACAGATACGATAATGTGAATGATGACCTAAAATGTTCAAAAGTCCCCAGCTTCTAGGCTATTCCCAATTCCTTACCATCAATGGGTGGTTGAAATGTAAGGGGTATACAAGTCAGGAAATGTCATAGAGTGGTGGGACTTTGATGTTCGATGGTTTATTCCTTATACTTTTTAAGATCTTAAATATTTCGTGGTAGAATTAAAAAATGAGGATGGATATCCTTGATGGTTATTTGTTATTTGCACCTTGATCGTCTTATATGACTTATTAAACACACTGCCAATGTGGGGCTCTTCCCACCCCTCATTCCATATCTGATCACTGTTCACTGATCACTAGTTCTGCCCCTTCTCCTTAGCACAGTCACTAACTCAGTCTTGGCCCTTATCACAATACAGACAAATACTTTTGTTCCCAAATTATTTCCCAATTACTTTGCATGTGCCTCAAGCATAAAGATGGGCTTTTACATATCTTTGATGTCTCCAGATAGACAAAACAGGACGAGAAAGAGAGGGAAGGAAAACAGATGTTTGTTGATTTCTTGTTGATATTTTCTCTTCTGTTTTTGGTCATAGATTCTAGAGTGAAGAGATTTTTATCCAAAAATGGCCTGGTCATTCTTGGGTTCACCTTTATCCTGTCTCTGATAGCTTTGCTCGCTGTGGGGCTGACCCAGAATAAAAATACGCCAGAAAATTTTAAGGTAACTCAAATCCTTGTGTGTGGAGGAGGGTTGTAGGGTGAAGAGGGGAAGGGGCTAGATAAATCAGAGCATCTGGTAGTACGGTAAAACCTACGAAAGTCACAACCTGTGTTTGGTGGAAACCTGTCAGAGAAGGAATACTCAAATACTATTTTCCACTGAAATGAATGATAGAACAGTGATAAGACTGCACCCTGTCACAGGTGGAAAACTTGCGAGACTCAGAAAAATAGGGCAGCCCCGTCGAGTTCTGGCTCTCACAGGTTTCCCTGTAGTTGAGGTTCTGGCAACCTAGAAGCAAGTCAATATCCATTGGATAAGTGGCGGGGAACGGGTGGGTAAAATGGAAATGCATGCTCACTCTGGAAGAGAGAATGCTTTATATCTATTACTGGTGGCAAGATAATTGCCTTTATGATTGTTACAGCAAACTTACTAAATTGATACTCTAACAGAGACAAATGCTTTATTCACCACATTGAGATCTGTGTTATACTTCACTGATACTCTATGTTCTAGTACTGTCTCTACTTCTTATTGTTTGACCATGGGTGAGTCATAACACTGCACTCTTTGTTCTTCTTACTCCCTCATTACCACTATTGTCAGTACAATAATATTTATTGGATGGCTGTGTAGAAAGCACTTTGGAAGTCAAGGATTGTAGAGAAAACTTGTTCCTTATCTCTAAAAATATTAAAGAAAGCAGCAAAATCAATTTAAAAAAGAACTCAGAGAACACGTACATATATCAAGTATGGTAATTTGAAATTCACTCACAAATGGACAGATTTCTTGGGAAATTTCCACATTTTTAAGAGCTAGTTAGGATCATTCAAAACCATTAGAGTCTTAACTCTGCTGTGAAAATTAATTGTGCTTCCTTTCCTAGTCATCAAAGCAAAATTTCAAAGATATAATAAGTACCTTGTAATATGGTCATTATTTTATTTAATCTGTTAATTAAAAAGCAGGAAGAAAATTTAAATTTATTGTAGATACATCATTTTTAACTTCAGTTGAAACCACAGTAAATAAATCTACAGAGGGCTCTGAGGATGCCAATCTGCCAATGAGCACGAATCTATATTGGGGTGGTGACATACCGGAAGCTATCTTAGCCACGAAGGCCCTGGAATACACGTGCACAAGTATCTTCTCTTGCATTTGAAGATGGTAAACTGTGAGCTTGGAAATATGGATGCTTATGCCATGCCACTGAAACCTTAGCCACCCACTCTAATTACTTGTTGTATAAGGCAGTGGCCTGGGTGTCACACTGGCTCATTTTGCCACACAAATCCAACCCAGTAGAGCTTTGCACAGCAGCCCCTTTGTCTGCACGGAGGGCTGATGCTATTTCATTGTCAATAGTCTCTTGCCTTTTAATGTTAAGAGTGATGTTAGTTTCCTTGGCAAAACTTCACTCATAGTTAAAGCCTCATGACATTCAGTTCTGCTGTTTGTTTACCAGCTCCAAAAGTCATGATTGCCTTCTTGATTTGACCTTTTTACATGTTCAGTAGTGCATCATTACAGAGAGGACTGCCCAGGAGGCAAAATCCGTGACTAGACTTGAGCTCTGTGTTCCCAATTAATACATGTGACCGTGGATGACCTTCCCTTATTCACAGTGGTCTTCTTTGAGTCTCTTGTGCTTCTGTGTTGTGTTGGCCTGGAAAAATGGAACAAGGTATTCGGCATTCTTTAAATGAAAGGTATGAGTATCTAAAGAACGCTCACAGGCATCTGAAAGAAATCTTTATGGTAATAGCACTGATTTATTTTACACAAAGATGGTTTAACATATGCAAACTAGCTATTTGTTAAGGTTATACACGAATTTTAATAAGATCCCTGGCATATATTGGGGCAAAAATGTTTCGGGAACTTGTCTTTTGGTGATGGCTTTAGGTCTGTGCTGTCCAGTTCAGTAGCCACTAGCCACATGTGGCTCTTTAAATATAAGTTAATTAAAATTAAAAATTTTGTCCTTCAGTTGCATTAGCCACTGTTCATGTGCTAGATAGTCACACGTGGCTAGTGGCTACTATATTAGATAACGCTGACATGGAACATTTCTGTCACTGCAGAAAGTTCTATCGGATAGTGCTGTCTTAGAGTATATGTTATATAATAATATCACTGAAATCATTCAAAATAAGTTTAAAGAATAAGGTATATGATGAAATGTTTTATAAAATCTAAAATAAGAAATGAAAAATGAGACTGTTTTGTGTGGCTTGTAAACTAGCTCCAGGATATGCCAAATATCATGAGCTAATAAAATGTTTGGAGTAGTTTGTTTGAATAAATATATTTTGTTCCCAAAATGAGCATCTTGAAGATAACATTTATTTGGATATTTGTACCTGGTACATTTGTTTAAGGAGCCTGGATGGAGCAAGCTGTTTGTGATCAGCTGCTAACCTAAAGGGTGGTGGTTCGAACCCACCCAGTGGCTCTTTGGAAGAAAGTCCTGCTTCAATAAAAATTACAGCCAAGAAAACCCTGCAGAACCCAGTCAAAAAATGGGCAAAGGACTTGAATAGACATTTCACCAAAGAGGACATTCATATGCCCACCAAATATGTGAAAAGATGCTCAACATCATTAGCCATTGGAGAGATGCAAATCCAAACCACAATGAGCTATCATTTCACTCCCATTAGGATAGCTAGGATAAAACAACAACAACAACAATGAAAACCAACAGAAAATAACAAATGCTGGTGAGGATGTGGGGCAATTAGAACCCTTATGCATTGCTGGTGGGAATGCAAAATGGTACAGCCATTGTAGAAAACAGTGTAGCAGTCCTCCAGCTTCTCTCTTAAAAAAAAAAAAAGAACTACCATATGACCGAGCAATTCCACTCCTAGGTATATATCCAAAAGACTTGAAAGCAGAGACTCAAATAGATACTTGTACATCAATGTTTGTTGCACCACTATTCACAATACCCAAAAGGCGGAAACAACCTAAATGCCAATCAACGAATGGATAAACAAAATGTGGTACATACATACAATGGAATACTACTCAGTAGGAGAAATGAAGTCTTGATACAGGCTACAGTATGGATGGAACTTGAAGACATTATGCTGAGTGAAATAAGTCAATCACTAAAGGACAAATATTGTATGACCTCACTTATATAAAAAGACAAAAACAGGCAAATGTGTAGAGACCAAAGTTTATTAGTAGTTACCAGGTGCGGGATAGAGGGGTGGGGTTCTTGCTTATAGAATGCTGAGTTTCGGTTTACAGTGGCAGAAAATTTGCATTGATTAAGGGTAGTGTTGCACAGCCGATTATTGTAAGTGCTGTCAATAAGTTGTAGACCTGTAAAAAGTTCAATTTGCAAAAGTTGTATGATATATATACAACAATGACACAATATATATTTGTGTATTTTAAATCTGTAACACATGGGGTTGCCATGAGTCGGGGGGCCAAAGTGATGGCAGCTAACAACAACATTTGTTTGCAAAACACATAATATCATTACATTACAGTCATACCTCATTCAGCATTCTTCATTTGTTCATAAATTTATGCACCAACAATTATTAACTGTCTGTGTCAGGCACTGCGCAACTGGGAAACCAATATAGATATGTTTGAACTTATTGTCTAGGGAAGGAAACACATTTTATAGATAATACAATTTACTAATTATAATTATGGTAAGTGCTACCAAATTCATGTAAAAGGGAGCCAGGGAAGTCTCTGAAAAAAATGTAATTTATAGTAAGATATGAGGTTGATTGGGAGTTAGCTGGGAAAGAAGTGGGTAACGAATACTCTGGGCAGAAGGAAATCAAGTGTAAGAGTCTAGAAACAGGAAGTTGGGGACACCTCCTAGAAACTGGAAAAGGCCACTGTGGTTGGAGAGTTTGAGTGGGCATGCCTTGGATAAGGAGGATAAAGATGATGAGGTAGGTGGTGCATGCAGGGCCCTGTAAGTCAGGTTGAGGGTTTTCGTATTTAAACTTAAGAGCAATGGGAAGCCAGTGACATGATCAAATTTGTGTTTTGAAAAGATCACTCTTTCTGCAATTAATTAGAGGATAAGAGGCTATTGCAATAGTTTGGAAGGGAGATTTTGAGTTCGATTTTTGAAGAACTGATTTGAAATGTTGGACATCCAAGGGGAAAATCAGCAAAGCATTTGGAATCAGATCTGGAGCTCACAAAAGAGAGCTCTAGACATGTGCTGTCCAATAGAAATATAATGCAAATCATATTTTAAATTTCCTAGTAGCCACATTTTTTTAAAAAGTAAAAGGAAACAGGTAAAATTAATTTTAGTAATATATTTTATATAACCCAGTATATCCAAAATAAAATCATTTCAACAAGTTATCCATATAAAGTTATTAAGGAGATATTTTACATTCTTTTTGTACCAAGTCTTCAAATTCTAGTGTGATTTTTACACTTACCAGCACATCTGAATTTGGACTAGAAAACTTTCAAGTGCTCAGTAGCCACATGTTGCTAGTGGCTACCCTATTGGACAGTGTAGATCTATACTGAATATATGTCTCTGACATTACTGATGTAGTGAAGCCTTAGAAATAATGAAATTGTCTAGGAGGTGGTATAAAGTGAGAAGAAAAGAGGGCCAAGGACTGAGTCCTGAAGAACTCTGTCATTTAAAGGTTGAATAGTAAAGAGATTCCTCCTAAAGCATATTAACTTTATATAGTGCTTTGCAGTTTATAAATAATTTACACTCATATTTCTATTTGTCCTCCCCTTGAGCACTATGAGGAATGAAAGGTTATCCTCATTTTATAATTAATGAAATGAGACTGGTAGAGGTTATCTTGCCCCAGGTGGAGGTGGAGCTAAGATTAGAACCCAGTTTTCTGGTGCAAAGATTAACGTTCTTTCCAATTGTCTTTGCAAGTTTCTTGAAAAAAACACATCCTAATAATAGGACTTGAAGCAGGATGTTTATTTTGGGAAATGATGCCTAGGAAACAGGGAAG